TTTCAACCATGGTAAAAACTAAATAAATTTCACAATATTGAGTACTTTAGTATTAGCTTATAGGCTTAGTAATAAAAAACGTGTGCACAATGTTGATAAACTGTATGCATAACTCAACAAACTAACTACCAACGATGGGTAAAATTCAACTCCTTTCTGTATTCAACTTCAATTCCTTAATTATAGCATTAATATACAAAATAGAATTCATTATTCAAATCCTGTCAGTATTCAACTTCCTTAATTATAGAATTAATATACAAAATAGAATTCGTTCCTTATTTACATTGTGGCTGCATTCACATTATTGCCCTTCATTTAAGTAATTAACAATCCGTGTGTCAGAATTAAGACTCCATCTAATCCATTCATCTTATCACATCCTATGGCTAGATGTTGTCCACACGTTTGTATTTTAAGGGGGTCTGCATGTGAATGCAACCCTATATATATATATATATATATATATATATATATATATATATATATATATATATATATATATATATATATATATATATATATATATATATATATATATATACAGAGAGAGAGAGAGAGAGAGTTATTACACATATATTAACTAAGCTATAATACTATTATAATTAAAGAATTAATTTCATGTACTAAATGGTCAAATTTAATGTATCAAAATATTAAGTATTTACTAAATAAGTATATTAGAAAATTATTTCATAATATATTTCAATATTGAAACAGAACAAATATTATAATTAATATAATTAATAAAATTATTATGGTAATTGTCACAATATTTGATAATTATAATTAATATAATTAATAAAATTGAGAAATATAATATTTTTACTGTGAAAATATTTGTGACAATTTCATTAAATTATACGGAGTAATGAATAAAATATGAAATATAATTAAGAAAATTAAATTATAAAATTAACAAAATATGTTTTGATAAATAATTATAATTTTTTTAAAAATACATACATACATATACGTATGCATTATATTAATCATACAAAATTTAAAACAAATTTTTTTAAATTCTAAATGTTATTATTAATTATAAATCTATCAATATAAATTATAATTATAGAAATTTCCATATATATATATATATATATATATATATATATATATATATATATATATATATATATATATATATATATATATATATATATATATATATATATAAAAGCAAAATTCTCATATTTGATTTTTTTTCGTCCAAATTTTTGTAGTCAATTAATTAAATATTTTATTAGTCAAATAATTAATAATGCTTATTTGGTAAGAAAATGTAAAATGAAAGTTAACTAAAATCTATTAATTGGTAATATTATGTATGGTATTATATTCTATAATATAATTGGTAATATTATTGTTCAAGTATAATAAAAACCCTAATTTTAATTCGTAATATAATAAAAATCATAACCGTGACCAGCCCTCTTAATTTATAATCTATACTATAATTAAAAACAAAATCATATTTACCTAATTTTCAGCCCAAATAATAATAAATAGTAAAGGTAAATTAAAAAAAAAACAGAAATTAAAAAGGAACAGAAATATTTCACAATAATATTCTACATTATCAAATAAAAATGGAACGGAAATTAGGTAAATTGAAAAAGGAAATGAATATTAATAATTGACTGAAAATTAAAAATTGAAAAAAGAATGAAAATTAGGTTAATTGGAAATAGAAATAAATATCAATAATTGGGTTAAAAAAAATGATCCATAATTGATTAAAATGGAAAAGGAAATGGTCAAATCATTACTTTTTAATTTTTCTCTATAATTTTACACAGTAGAATAAATCAAATCACAATTATATCATAAATATTTCACAAATTTAAACAATGGAACGAAAATTAAAAATAGAACAAAAATATTTCAATAATAATATTCTACTATCGTCAAGTAAAGGTAATTTAAAATGAAAACAAAATATTTCAATAAGAATATTCTACATCATCAACAGTAAAGGCATATTTTAAACAATAGTAAATGTAAATTAAAAATAGAACAAAAATTAAAAATGAAATGGGCAATAATAATATTCTACATCATTAGTTAAAATTGGAATGAAAATTATGTAAAAATATCACCGCATCTGATTTCTAATAAACTCATTCATTGAAAAAGAAAAAATAATTGGATGAAAATGAATATGATATTACCAATTGACTGAAAATATAAGAGGATTGACTACAATAAAAAATGATTCACAATTGACTAAAGTGAACAAAAAATGGTCATATCATTGCATTTTAATGAAAAATTGGACATAAATATTTCAATAATAATATTCTACATCATCAATAGTAAATGTATATTTTAAACAATAGTAAAAGTAAATTAAAATGGAAGGGAAATATTTCAATAATAATATTTTACATCATCAATTAAAAATAGAACGGAAACTAGGTAAAAATATCAATATATCTGATATTCTAATTGACTAATTAAAAGAAAATAAAAAATAATAATTGGCTGAAAATGAATATGATATTACTAATTGACTGAAAATATAAAATGATCACTAATTGACTGATATTCTACAATTATATATTTTCACCCGAGTCACCCATCCTAATAGACTGAAGATGTTAACTATAGACGAGGATTGACAAGATTGTGTTGCTACTACTAATATCGTATACAATGAGGTTTCAATAATGTGTAAATACAATAAGTGATATTATGTTTTTTTTTTTAAATGATAAAATTGCTATATATCTAGACAAAAATATATTTTCCATACGAATTAATGAATTAGGATAGCAACTCATTCATATAACTGAGTTGCTAAAGAATGAACACATTTTCCTAATTTATAAAAAATAATAAACAGTGATAAATATATTTTACAGCATCGCATGTGTACATTTACACATTAGCTATTAATTTGAGCAATTATTTTCTCAAATTCAAGCAATGATAACATCAAAACATATAAAAGATTCAAACCATATTTTCAATTGCACTATAAATATTTGATATTCTAATTTAAATAATCATATATCAATCCAAATATTCTTAATATATTACAACAAATCCATTTCGTGCATCGCACGGGCGCAAATACTAATTAATAAAAATAACAAATATTTTAATATTATCAAGATTATTTATGTCCTCTTCTTCATTTTTTTTTTTTAAACAAGATTATTTTATGTCTTATTAACACTTTTCTAATGAAACAAGTATTTAGAAAACATATCTTTGAATTTTTTTTTTTTTTTTTTTTTTTTTTTTTTTGTAAATCAAAGTGTCTAAAAGTCATTTTAAAACTTATAATAGTCATTTTTATTGTAATGATGAAGTAATAACTTCTAGATTCCTTAATGTGTATAAAAACCATGTGTTTTAATTTAATTGTAAACACATTTTGATCAATTAATTAACGATTAATACATTTTGAAAAAGCAATTAATTCAGTTCAATTATTATGTGTTTGCAGTTAATTTAGTTAAAGTATTAATCAAGCGAAATAATGGTGGCTCTTCCAAATTGAAAGTCACAGGTTCAAACTCCAGTTGAGGCGACGACTTTTTATACATTAAAATATTGAGAAAGTATGTATTAACAAATACTATTGTAACAGAGTCAATAGTACTAAAAAAAAAAAAAAAAATTCCATATGCATTATTGCCAATAAATATATTATACAATATTACTTTGACATTAATATGTAATACTTAATACAACTCCCTTTTAACTAACTCAATATAAATAATATTCTTGAATTATGTCCATATTTTTTTGTGTGCATGTGATATTTTACTTTAATCTTTTAATGTAAAAAATATCGTTACACTGTTAAATACGGAGTACATTATTTACCAAAATAATATACTTCTAGATAATTTTCTTTACTAAAAATACATATAGATAAAATATACTCACTCGGTGTCATTTTGTTTGTCTGGTTCAGTTAACGAGGCTTGACTGAAGTTATTTTTAATTTAATTTTTCACAATATTAAGTTTAGTATTAGTAAATAAATTTATATATATTTAAACAAAAAAAATCAAAATTAAAAATAACTAAAAAAAATAAGTCGTGAAGAAAGAATTGGCTTGACCAATGAATAGTAAATAGGACGGACGAAATAATAATTAAATCTTCTTAATATAAATATAAAATTAAGTTAATAATTAAATTTTAATATACAATTATGTGATTTGTGCTATTTATTTATATTATTTTAATATAATCATAATTTTAACATTAAGAATATTAATGTTCACCAATATTTTTTTGCATATAAATATTATAATATATATACGTACGAAAAAGTAAGTATAAATTATAATATTTTAGAATAGGCAAAAATTAGTGTGAGACTAGATCTCAATCCGTGAAACAGATCGAATCTTTGATTAATGAGGTCAAAGATTTAACCAATTAATTCAAGAATTGGTCTATTAATCAAAGATTCGATCTGCCGCACAAATTAAGACACGTGAAACGATATCACATAAGTGTTATCTTTTAGAATATTACCTATTTTTAGACAGTATAATTTTACAATATGAGTAACATTTGTGTAAGATCGTTTCACGGATCTCAACCCGTGAGACAGGTCAAATTTTTGATTAATGAGTTAAACCTTTAAGCTCATTAATCAAAGATTCGATTCGTCTCACAAATTAAGACTCGTGAGCAATCTCACACAAATTTTTGCCTTAAATTATTTGTATTTTATGTTTCCTTACTCCGGAGTCCGATTGTGGACGCCACGACGCCAAATCTATTTCCGTTGTTTTATTCTCAGTCAAATTCCCATTCTACCCCTCATCCAGAACCGGTAACACTCGCTCCTAACTACCTCGAGTCCACGACCACCGTAGAGATATACAAATTTGATTGGGGGAAGAAGTTTTACAAAATTGACACTGGTAAACGTTTATTCATTTACATTTAAAACAAATGTACATTACACCTGAACGGATTGTTCATCAAATCTGGTCCGCGATATATATATATTTATTTATATTCGATTTCTCTCTCTAAAAATACGAAAACTAGAATGCAACACGAACACGAAGCATCGCAAACTCTGTCTCTTTCTCTCTCTAGGGTTTGACAAAAATCCGTCCGGCTTCTGTGGTGCCTGCCAGCTCCCATATTATTCTTCTTCTTCAACCTTTTTCCTCAAATTTCCAGTTTCCGGAGAGATAGTTTCTCTCCGGGGAACTTTTCTCCTGCAGTTTCTCCGTTTCCAGGTACGCTTCTCTCGATATATGTCATGTATTGTTCGAAAATCTGTGTACATGTGTACGCATTATCATTTCGGGGTTGATTGGACGGGAATTGATGGTTTATTGGTGTTTTGCAGGGGTTTTATTGCGTATGTTGTGATTGAGGATTGGGGATAATACGTAGATTTGTTTGAATATTATTTGAGTACAGGATTTTAATGGGTTAAATAATTACCTTTTTGTGTTTTATTTTTTAAAATCTTTCTGGGGCATTAATTGTGGATTTAAGGTTAGAGGGTTTGATTGGTTGCGTATCAGTGTATGGATTCTGAGAATATGTCCCCGTCGACTAGCCTGGAAAAATGCTGCGACTGCGAGTGCAGCTTTTCCCCTATGAACAGGCAGTTTTCAGGGGAAAGGCTTCGTTCTGTGAAGCGAAAGTACGATGAGTGCGATGATGCCACACTTAAGGTTATCTTACCTCAGACGGCCCGGATTGAGGTACAAGATGAATGTTCTGCACTTCGCGAAATGGTCAGCAATCAGCAGCAGACCATTCAGGGTTTAAGTATTGAGTTGGATGAGGAGAGGAATGCAGCCTCTTCGGCGGCCAATGAGGCTATGTCAATGATCTTGAGGCTGCAAAGAGAGAAGGCGGAGGTTCAGATGGAATTTAGACAATTTAAGAGATTTACGGAGGAGAAAGTGGCTTATGACCAGCAGGAGCTAGCTTCTTTGGAGAACCTATTGTATACGAGGGACCAAGTAATTCAGTCATTGGAATGTCAGGTGAGAATGTATAAACACAGAATAATGAGTTATGGGTTCACCGAGGCTGAGGTTGAGGCTGAAGCAAGGGGTGGTCATTTGAGTTGGAATGATGGTGCAGCTGAGGTTTCCGATGATTACCCCCTAATAAAATGCTTCGATGAGAAGCTAGTTAACTATGGCCTCAATAATGAGGGTTATGAGGCTGTGGATGTTGAGGAACATGTGTTTGGGGAGACCCCTCGGTCACAACATCAATGTCAAGATCTGGAGTGTAGGATCGTCCAGTTGGATAAGAGTCCCGAGATCAGTCATCCTGATGGGGAGTTTAACGAGAACAATGTGCTTGATAAGGTCGCAATTGATCAATCTCCAAGGAGGCCTAGGCATTTGAGGAAAATCTCAACTAATAGTTCTGGTACTTACATTGCAACAAATAAAGATATGGATGATGAATTTGTGGCTCAATCTCCAATGTTTGGTGGAAATTCAAGGAAGATAGGTGTTTCAGAGGCACATGGGTGTGGTGTTTCAGAGGCACACGGGTGTTCAAACTTGAGGAAGGTGAATACTTCAACTGAAGTTGAAGATGACAATGACACGGGTGACAGAGTTTACACAATTGATTCCATTCATCAAGGGGCAGGATATAATGGTGTAACTAATCCCAAAACACCTGTCAAAATAGGTGATTATTATACCACAACTCCAAGGTATTCATTGAACTATACAGATATGGAAGATTCTGATATGGAGAAGCTGTATGCGAGGATTCAAGCACTTGAGGCTGATAAGGAGTCAATGAGGCAGACAATTATGTCAATGCGGACTGAGAAAGCACAGCTGGAATTGCTGAAGGAGATCGCCCAACACTTGTACAAAGACATGTCACCAGCAAGGAGTGCACCTGTGAGGAAGACCTCTACCAATGGGAGATTTTCATTCTTCTCATTATTCAAGGTATTATAATAACAAAGTTAATGATACATAACAAATATACCACCCAGTATTTGCATTAAATTTGTGTCACATAAATTACATAACCTTCCAATATAATATGTGCCTTATCTTCTTGTTTTCTAATTCAGTAATTCTAACTAGCCCCAATTCCTTTTTGTAACAGTCAGAAATGATAGAAAATAGAGGAAAAACATAACCATTTCCATTTTGAAGATCTTTCTACATCGTTATGCAAAATAGTGAATTACTTGGTTTTGAAAATTCACTTATTCCGATCCATTTCAAGTTTTCAACATTACCTTTTAACAATTGAGAGTTGAAACTGCCAAAAAATTTGTCTTTGTCCCTCAAAATAACTGCCTAAATTAGTGTGCTATTTAATTATCTGCTACTATAGAGTATTACCACTCTAACTACTTTTTAATAGAATTTATCTTGGAAATTTTAATCATAAAGCAGTCCCCTGTTGAATTTCTCTACTTTATCCAGCTGGCCTTTAATTGTATGATTTAATGTCCAAAATTGATCTCAAGCCCAGAATGTACAGAGTAAGTGGTATGATTTCTCAGAGACCTGGAATTTACACTTCTGTGCATACTATTGCAAGAAATGTGATTTTTGTCAAGCATAAAATTTCTCTTATTAATGGGAAAGAACATAGTTTTTGGGCTTAAGTTTAGGAGGACGATAGCATATATTGCTTTATTATTTCATAGGGTTTTGTGATAAGAACATACAGTACAAGGCTTTTGCAGGCTTATGTGTGAATTTGGGCTTCATTTATCTTTTATTAGTATTATCATATGTATTAGTTAATGGCTCATGGTATGATCTAATCTTCCATCGTAGCTCATATTTTAATTTGTTTTGTCCAGTGGATCATACCCTTTGCCTTCTGGAGGAAGAGAACGCGTCGATGCAAGTGAGTAGATCCTTCTCAACTTCATTTCTTAATTTTTGAGTTGTTTCTTTACTCTGCACTTAACAAACCTCATTATTCTTGTTAATTATATTACCTTTGTCAACCCAATGGGGTACCTCAAGTGGCAAATGAGCTCTCTTTGTGGGGGAGAATTATGGGATAACCTGGGTTTGATTCCCACAAGTGATGATTCTGTCCTTGGGCCTGCTCCCGTGCCTCCTGGAGCGAACGGGGATTAGTCGGGTGGACTTGGATCGTTAAACGAACAGAGAAAGACCCGGACCACCTCGTGGTTTACACCAAAATATTACCTTTGTCAACATATGAACCATTGCCTCTTTATCTGTTTTAATTCATACCTCGCAATATGCTCATAGGGATCCTTGTTTGGGTTTAGATGGGGGTCACCGGGTCATAAACTTGATACTATTGTTTTTGGCGTTTCATTCTAATATTGGTTTAGTCTCTCCTAAAACTTATTCTCTCCATTTGACATGTCCCAAATCTGTGGCCCGAACTTACATACTTGGCACTGTCTTTAGGTATGCGTTTGGAATATCAGGCAACAATCCAGGCTTGCTATTGCTTTTAGACAAGGGACCTCGTGTAGGGCAATGGAGATGCCTTACAAGCACACAGGTCTGACGCCAGTTTCTATATCAATGTCTGAGACTTGTAATCATGAGTGTGTGTGTGTATGTAGAGTGGATTTTAGTGAAGGCATGGTGGTTGTAGGTATTACATTCTTTTATTCGGGATTCCACGCTCTGGAAATTTAGGGTCGTTTTTTTTGCTTGCTTTTAGCCAGGCTTGAGTTCTGATAGTTTCATTTACTGTACATGGAAAGATTTGTTAGTGATTCAAGTGTGATATAAGTGGCATTGTTAGCAGTATTGTACAATGTACATAACAATTTGTTTTAGTTGGTGATATGCTGAGCTTATGATATGATTATGTCGTGAAGTTGAACTTTAAATATAATGCAGTTTAAAGCAAGGATGCTGTTCATTGTAGGGCAGCATGTCTCATAGCAATTGTTATACCATGGACCATGGTACCATGGTTCATATTGCATGGTGAACCTTGATACAAAAATTCTGTACTTTCAGTTAACACATTTTGTACCTACAGTTAAAAGTTTATGTACATGTAAATATGTAACTTGATAATTGCTGACAGCTACGTGTACAGAAACTATCAACTGCCGGTATAGAATATGTCAATTATAGAGACAGAATTTGACTTGATAATTGCTGACACATAATATGATAGCTATATGTACAGAAACTAACTATCAAGTGTATGTATAGAATGTGTCAACTATAAATACAGAATCTGAATGTTATTTTTAAACTAGGGTTTACAATGCAAGGTAGACCTTGGTCCATGGTATAATTTGCCGTCTCGTAGAGCTCTATATCCCTTCATTTTAATAGGGTAATTCTATTTGCACCACCCTAAATGCTATTTACACCACTCTTCGATAGGTGTGCTAGCTTTATAGGTGGTGTAAATAGAAAATTATACTATTTACACCACCTTCATTAAAGTTAATCAAACTGAAATATATAAAAGCGTAGCACGCAGTGATATTGAAACTGACGTTGTAACACAAACGATCTGTAACGCAGTTCGGGTAAACAACCCTAATCTGCGAGGCACTTCTAAATTTGAGAACTTGCCTAAATCCACTAAAAGCTCAATATTTAAAGTACACTGTTTGGAACCTGAGATTACACAATAGAATGATCTTTCCTACCAAACTATTGAAACCTAAACACATGTACTACTTTCTAGGGGAATTTAGTATCCTATTCTCAAAGACTCTCGTACCTCACAAGATTAGTGTTGAATGCTTGATCTCTGTGATAAAGGAAAACCCCTATTTATAGTAGCTACTTCTAACAGATTTGTGAATAATAATGCTATTCCTAATCAAACTAGAACTAGAAGATCTTTAATAACAATTCCTCTTAGAACTAGTATTCTTCAATATCTATTTCTTTTAGGACAGTATTCCTTCATAGAACTGGAATCCTTTTTGCACATAACTTTGACAAGGTCTTTGAGTCAACAATCTCCCCCTTTGTCAAATTTTTGGCAAAATCCTTGATTCCATAAAAAGCTTGGCATTTGACTCATTTTCCCTTTAACTGATTCCATGTATCACTGTTATTGGTGAGTGCTATCTTTGAGTATGATTTGTTTTTTAAAAAATCCCAATTAAATCAGCCTATCACTGCTAATTTCTCCTCTGATTTATTCTTCCTCTGTTATTACCGCCAACGCCTCTGATTTCATCACTTTCCTCAATCGCGACATCCCGAAAGGAAATTGCCCATCGGATGAGCGCGACGCCAAAGTTGAGACAATCTGTCGAGAATTCTTTTAATCGGAGATGTATTCTGGCCATGCAAACATGAATCCACTGAGATTCCATCAATCGGTCTCTTCTGCCTTACGATCGCATCTAGATTTCCTGACCGGAATTTCGAACATACTAACTCTGCGCCATCATTAATTTCTGGAAATAGCACAAAATCCGGTGAAAGCTCTTCAAATGATCTCTAAATATCTGATCGGATCTTCATGGGATAACCTAGACGAAACTGGAATTTCTCCAATTACCGGTGACATAATCATCGTCGGAAAACGCTCCGTCGCCATCGCTAGGCCACCCTCGCCCTCCAGGGCTGTCTCACACAAATAGGTTGGAGGTGGTTCGCGTTCGTCTTGAATATTTTGGTAGGGTTCCTGTGAAATCAGAACAGGGCTCATAATGATCGTTGCAGAGCTATCATCCTTTTTTTCATCTGGTTCTGTTTCTGTTTTGTGATTCTGCATAACAGTAGTCAGAGGTGTTGGAACAGTTGTTTCAACAATTCTGGGACTTTCGTCATCATTAGTGGTTATTCTTGAAATTGTGTCATTAATAACCACATTCATGGATTCCATTGTACTGTCTACATTGAAAGTGTTACTGTTTGATGAATAACCTGAATAGTCTAGGAATATTTCTTGGTCCCCTTTAATGTCATGAGAATTTATGTGTCCCATATGTTGGTGCCGTGATTGTTTTTCCTTGTTGGTTGTCTGTAAACCAGATAGGTCACCATACCATGTATAGCATTTGTTTGCGGACCTTTTTCCCATCATGACACACTTGTGATGCTGATTAAACACAATGCAATTGTCTTTAGAGAATTCTACTTTGAGTTCATCTTCACAAAGCTGACTTATGTTGATTAGATTTGTTTTTAGACTTTGTACTAGGAGGACTTTTGACAACCTAGGCAGCCCATGGACATTCAAGATGCCGCTTGCAATGATCTAGCCTTTTCCTCCATCTCCAAAGGTAATATGTCCTTCATTCTTATACTGAATGTTTTCCAGATTTTCTGAATTTCCAGTCATATGCCTTGAACACCCGCTGTCAAAATACCATATGTTTTGTTCTTTGCTAGTTTTTGAGGTGTAGGCAACATTCTGATCTTTTCAAACCCAGATTTTCTTGCTTTGTACTGACCAATCTCTGTTGATTCGTCTGTAATACAGATCATTTTTTCTTTTGAAGCAGTATGCTTTTATGTGCCCCAGTCTGTGACAGTAATAGCATCTGATCCTCCTTCAGTGTTGGAAGTGATGTTGCGACACTTCAGGAATTTCAGAAGAATGCCTTTCATTGGATGCTGGATTTAGAGATCTAGGCATCTCAGTTAGTGCCTTGATCTCTTGTAACAGTTTGGTCTCTCTGCCTTTCGACTCCATTAATTCATTTTGAGTATCTTTAAGGCGTTTTTCATTACTCTCTTTTTCATCTTTTAGAAACTGATTTTCATGTATGAGTTCAAGATTTACTTTGATGATTTGTTCCCATTTAGCATGCGGCTGTGTATATGAATCTAGTAGTTCTTGTATATCATTTTCGTTTCCATTGTCATTCTCATGATTTGTGGTGAATGCTACGAAATTAGTGTTGTTGTCTTCTTCACTGCCCGAGTCATCGCTTAGTGTTGTCACATATGTTTTGTTCTTCCTTTTAAAGTATGTTGGACATTCTGACTGGATGTGTCCAAACCCTTTGCACTCGTAGCACTGAATTCCTTCAATTTTTGGATTCTCCCTTCTCGTTTTGATTGGGACGCAATTCCTTTGCCAGTAGGAGAAGTTTGTACCAATTAGGGCTGGGGTTCTGGTGTTTGACAGTCAGTCTTTCTTTGGGAAACTCCATTAGGATCCTGCTAATAACTTAAAGCAGTTTGACTCTGATACCAATTGAAATATATAAAAGCGCAGCACACAGTGATGTTGAAACAAACGTTGTAACACAAACGATCTGTAACGTAGTTCGGGCAAACAACCCTAATCTGCGAGACACTTCTCAATTTGAGAACTTTCCTAAATCCACTAAAAGCTCAATATTTAAGTACACTGTTTGAAACCTGAGATTACACAATAGAATGATCTTTCCTACCAAACTATTGAGACCTAAACACATGTACTACTTTCTAGGGGAATTTAGTATCCTATTCTCAAAGACTCTCGTACCTCACAAGATTAATGTTGAATGCTTGATCTCTGTGATAAAGGACAACCCCTATTTATAGTAGCTACTTCTAACAGATTTGTGAATAATAATGCTATTCCTAATCAAACTAGAACTAGAAGATCTTTAATAACAATTCCTCTTAGAACTAGTATTCTTCAATATCTATTCCTTTTAGGACAGTATTCCTTCATAGAACTGGAATCCTTTTTACATATAACTTTGACAAGGTCTTTGAGTCAACACAAACATTATGTTTTTATTTAAAATATATTTATTATTTAATTTAATTTTATTTCAAATTGTGATGGTATAATAATTTTGTCTATAATATTATTTAATTATTTGTGTAGTATCCAAAGTTTAATAAATTTTAATGATAAAATTAATTTTATTTTTTATTATTCTAATATTCTTTATAACTCAAATTTTTTATGCATTATTTTACCTTATTACAAAAATATAATAAAAAGTAAATTAATTTTGAATTGCTAAAAACGGTAAAAACACATTAACATCACAATAACATATAAAAATAAAATTTCATTCCATTTCAATCTAATATAACATTCTCATGAGTACAATTAGAGCGTACATGCTCATTATAACTATTGATCTGATTCACATATGGAGTAATCCATGCATATGCACAATCATATTTAAAATAAGCATATTGTGGAGCAATAGTAGGCATTGGGTACCCTCCTGTGGATTTTATATTAACACTAGTTTTTTACGCGCATTGCGTGATTGAGATAATGCCCAATATTTTTCTTAAATAAGTATTTTAAAGTATAACAAGACAAGTTTATATTGTAATTGTTTATGCATAAATAATTGAATGTTGAATTTGCGTATTTAAATTGGTAATTCTAAGTTTACAAATGCAAGATGATATAGTCAAGATTGATTATAATTATCAATAAAATAATTGTATGGGCATGGTTGAAACCAAATAGGCAAATACGGAATATAAGGGAGAGCAAATAAAAATTAAAGCATAAAATATTAAATATATACTAATATTGTTTGAGGAGATTCTGACAGTAGGAGCGTTATGCTGTGTGCAAGGTGGTCACGATTCCATATCCATAATTTATATACTGTAGATTCATAATTTCTATATTGTAGATCCATAATTTCTATACCGTAGATTCATAATTTTTATACAGTAATTCATAATTTCTATACTGCAGATTCATAATATTTGTACTGTAGATTCATAATTTTTATACTGTAAATTTAATAATTTCTAAACTGTATAGTTATCAATTATGAACATATAGTTCTCTGATTTGTGAAAACATAGAGTTCAACAATTGAAATTTAAAGTATAAATTTTATGAATCTACAGTATAGAAATTATGAATCTGCAGTATAGAAATTATGGATATGGAACCATGCCCACCTTGCAGGGTGGGCACGTGCTC